AGCTGCCGTACCTGCACCCAACTATGGGGGATACCCATTTAAATCCTCTGGCTCCATTTCTGTAATATGCTTTTACCTGCAATAAAATTATTTCTATATTTTAATTAACAAAATAATATATATTTTATTAGAAAATTAAGAAATATTCAAATACAATCATATAATAAATATTATATAATTATAAAGCCCGGAGACACAAGATAGAATTCATATTATAATTGTTTTAAAAGTTTAATTTGAACTAAGCAAGCATTAAAAGTAAATTTATTTTTATTAAAATTATTTATATTAATATAAATATTTATAATATTTCTAAATTGGTTTATTATTATAAAATTTACTTACTTGATATAAGTTTTCTGAAAATGAAGTTATATCTTAAAACAGTATAGGTACTAAATTATATTTGCAAAAATAATATTTGTTAGATAATTATAAATAAATCATTTTGGTCAAATATTTCACAACTTAAAATATTATTATAACTATATTGCAGAGTACTTGATAAAATGCAAACTGATAAAGCATGATTGTTTGATATTATTTATCATTTGGATACTTTATTAAGATTTGGGAGGAGTATACTAATAGAGTTTTAGTTAAAAATATAATTACATGACTTGAAAATTGATAGAATACATAGGAATAGCCATTACTATTACTTGTTTTAGTTCTTAATTCTAAATATTGGCTTAGCAAATTTAATCTAGATTTAGAATCAATTAATTTTGTATTATTAAGAACTTGGCTTAATTATTATTATAAAGCATGGACAAATCATAAACTTACAAAATTACTTTTAGAATTTGAATTATATAGAGTAGAAAATTTACTATTTGATAATAATACATATAAGCAATTTAAAGATGATATTTTAGCATATTAAGATTTTTGTTTTACTATGTATAAAGAATTAGAATTAGTAGCTACTAAAATTTTTAGTATTTCTGTAACTTCTGCATTAGTAGAATATTTATTTTCATCAATAAGATTTTTATATTCATCTTTAAAAAGTAATCTAGATATAATAAGTTTTATATTATTTATTAATTTTTTTTTATATTATCCCCTAAACTGTAGACGATTCTAGACAAATTTGTCTAGAAAATTGCTATAAATTTGTTTATAATTTACTTTTTTTAAAATTTAAAATATTTAAATAAA